AATAATTCGAGTGCAAGAAAGGACCTACGTTGCACTTCTTTTTCAACTCTCAAGAAGACCCTGGGGTCACTCCTAACACTAAATTCTAACACTCTGAATTTTCAGTCGTCACAACAGGAATATAAAAATTTGCTTTTCATTAAACAACTTTAAATAAGCAAACGGGCAGTGTAAGAAGGACAAAGGAGTTAGTATAACATACTGTTTCTTTAAGGAATCAGGTGAAATAAACAGAAGCTACTGCAAAAGGATTTAGGTGTGGTGAAAGATCCTGCTTTATAACATAAAGGCAGGTGCCAATATAAAACTTTAGATTTAAAGATACTGTGGTTAAATAAACAGCTTTGGGGATAGAGCCAAGAATGTAGGTCCATTTAAAACAGTTTGTTGACTTTGCTCCCATTGATCACCTACACTGTAAACCATAAAGATATTTAATGATGTGCTGATTTTTAATCTGGATTTATATAAATTATACTACATATTATATACATATATTATGTTAAGTTTATATGATGACAACAAATATTGATTCCTTTAAAATTATTTTTCAATAAACTTTCTAAACAATGATGACTTTCCAGTCAGAATATTTTTGGATAATGACTCAAAATATACATAAATTTACCTTTAACAAAAGACAAGAAAAAATAGCCACTTGTAAATTATCTGTGTACTACTGTCTCTTTATAAACACCCTATTTGAAAAAAGATAAAAATTCCATATGACACTTAGAGAAACATCTCCTTTCTGCCTTGGTGCTAATTTATTCTACTTCTGTAACTCTGGACATATCATTACACAGTCTTGTTGACATTTGTCATTTTTCTTTTTTTTTTTTTTTAAACAACTTTTCCAATATGATGGATGTCAGGCTCATGCTCAGAGGTGTCATAATTTGTATTTCTCAAATTATTAGTAATTTGAAGCATTTTTTCATATGGCTATTGATAGCTTGGATTCTTCCTCTAAAACTACCTATTCATATGCTTTGACCATTCATCAACTGAGGAATCTCATCCGCATAAATTTGAATCAGTTCCTTATATATCTTAGAAATAAAATCCATATTAGAGAAATTTAACTAAAAAACAAGCTTCCTTTTAATTTTAGCTATATTGGCTTTGTGAAAAAAAAAATTTAATTTTATATAAACAAAACTGTCAATTTGATCTTCTGTTATGTTCTTAATCCTTGTCTGATCATGTGATCAAACATGATCATGAAAGGTAATGGCTCCCTTGCTCCTCTGTTTATGATGTCACTGTTCATGTCTAAAACATATGTCATTATCTTGGTATATGGTGTGACATGTTGGTAGAAAACTGAGTATCTGCTTGATTGCTTTCCCCTTCCTTAGTTCTTATCTTATCAAATGGAGAATTCTTTACTCCAGTAGCTGGGGTCTTTGGTTTTAAATACTATATCCACTTGCATCACTATGTTGTATACTTAATCTGTTCTAGTAATCAAATGATTTATTTCTTAGCCAATACCAAATCATTTAGCTCACTACTGCTTTTAGTATAGTGTGATATCGGTACAGCTAGGCTCATTTACTTTCCCTCACTTTTTTTCATTATTTCCCTTTAGATTCTTGACCTTTTGTTCCTCCATGTGAATCCTATGATTTTTCTAATGCCATAAAATAAAGCATTGGAACTGTGATTGATATGACACCAAATGAGTAATTCAGCTAGTTTTGTCAGTTACAACGACCCATTCGTATTATTATTGCTCCAATTTTTTAAGTCTATAAAGACTATTTTATAGTTGTACTCATAGGATTCCTGTGTATAATGGCAAATTGACTCCCAAATATTTTATCCATTCCATAATAATTTTAAAAGGAAATTCTACTTCTCACTCTTCCTGCTGGGTTTTGCTGGCAATTTACAAAAAGGCTCAGATTTTCTATAATTTGATTTTATATCCTGCAATTTTCCCTAAAGTTATTATTTCAATTAATTTTTAATTAACTTCTTTAGGGTTCTCTAAGTCAACCATTATGTAATCAACAAAAGTAATAAATTTGTTTCCTCTTTGCCTATACTTATTTCCTCAATTTCTTTTTCTTGACTTTTTGATATAGATAGCCATCTTAACACATCTGGCTATCCCATTCCCAACAACTTAACTCCACTGTCCCCAACATCCTACTCAAAAGCTACCCAATACTTCCACTGTGTTTGGTGGAATGCCTACTCCACAGGCAACAAATTTGCTTTCATTTTAAATCTTTTCCTTTCCTATTCCTTAAGTCTTCTGGATCTCACTGAGACCTGTATTTCTTCTGATGCACATCCTCCCTTGGCCTTTCACCAAAGGCAGTACTTTCAGCCATTCCCCCCAAACAAAGTGGTTGTGTGGAGAAGTTGGAATATTCCTTGCTCCCAAGTGCCACTTTCAGATGCTCCCTCAGTAACCTCTCCTCCTCTGAGGGTCACTAAATCCGTATCTACCACCCAATCAAAATCCTAGTAGCTATTGTCTACCGACCTCAAAGACACAATGTGTTTAGCTCCTGGCTCATAGTCTATTTCTCCTTCCTAACTTCTGCCTTCATACCAGGGGACTTCAATATGCATACTAACACTCCCTCTCCCTAACTTTCCATAGCAACCACAAACAAAAATGATCATACCCTTGATCTTGCCATCACACACAAAAGCACAACTTTCACATTCATGAACTCTGAAATTTCCACTCTCTAAGTTGCAAAAAAAAAAAAAAAAAGTGCTGCATTGGTAGAGGAAATTTGATCATTCAGGAAATCACATGATTGAATCCCTATCCCTTAATATTCCAACTTTCCTTATGTCATTTTCACAATGAAATCATCAAGTATTACAGCATATTTTGATTATGCAGAATTTCTCTATCTCTTCATCTTCTAAAAGAGATATTAACAAGAAGACTGCAATTAACTTCCTGGTGATTCCTTTTTTAATGATCATCATGACTAATGCAAGATGAGACACCTAAATGTCACATAAAATGATGTGTTATATCGCCTTTAAGCCGTTACTTAAATCAATTCTGCTTATATACTTTTTCTCTCAGAAGAACCCATATGCCATCTTTCCACTGAACTTCTTTTGTCTTCTGGTTTTGTTAATTTTGAGACTATCAATATTGAAATGGCTTAGTTTCTTCACTCATATGTAAATTCACAGATATTTCATATTTGAAAAACCTATCAGTTAAACCTATGAGGTAAAGTTTGTAAACCATCTAAACTGGATTCATTCTTAGCATCCTTTCCCACAATTCTATCACTGATTATGGAAAAGGAAAGGAACTGCATAAAACTGATGGCCACTCTATTTCTTTCTTCCTGGATTTCCATGGCCAACCTGTTAGTGATGGGTCTACATATGTTGGTCCTCTAACACCAGGCTGTCTTGAAGCCTTTCACCAAAGCTTATACTCCAGCGCATAGCCTTTAAGAACTTAGAGTTATCTCCGCACCACAAGGAGGTCTCAGAGTAAAATTCTATGGATGGATTTTAGTGATGAAAAAAAAAATCAATTCTCTTTTTATTCACCTAAAGATGTCAAGGCATTTCATAAATATTCACTCATAACAGTATATTACATATATAATTATATAATATGATATATATTATATAGATTATGAAACAAGAAGAATTATATCCATTTTGGCATTCAAAAGAAAAATAGAGAATCAAGTAATATTTAATACACAATGCTATGAAGAAAATCTTTGATGATCTCAGAAACAAAATGAATGAGTCTTGTTGAAATGCAGCAGATCTTAATGAGGGTTCCATGATTTTGTATTTTTTTTCAGTATTTTGTTCCATCATTAAAACATTAAAATTGATTTCCCCTGTACGTGTGAGAGTGTATGTGTGTGTAATTTTATTTATTTAGAAACATTATTCTGACAGTATCCAGAGAATTCATCTGACTGCCAAAGGAGTCCATGACACAAAAAAAGGTGAAGAAAGCTGACTTTAGTACATTACTGAGTTTCAAACGTTCAAATGGTAAGAGTAAGAAGTGGATGGCAGGAAAAGAAAAAAGAAAAAATCTGGGCGAAATGATTTACAAATTTAGAAAAAAATGGAGACTTGAAGATGAGTGTTCAAGATCAGACACAGTTTTGTGAACCAATCAATTCATTAGTAATAACATTTTTTCATACGCTATATTTGACAACAAAGTGATTTAACAGCAATCAAAATGGGTGCTTGTCACATAAAATTTAATTTAAATTAACTAATGAGAGAAAGCCCTTCACATACCATGGAAAATCAATAAGGACTAGTATACATTTTAGAGAAATAATATGCTATATAAACGAATCAATTTTTACACAACACAAAAAGTACCAAAGACAGTGCAATATTGAGCCTATGGCCTCTTACAAGTGAAGAATCACAAAGAATCAATGACACTGACTTTTTATGAATAAACCCCCTAAGCAGCATCTCACTTATCAAAATGAATTAAAGTAATCTTACCCACTGTGCCAGCTCATGCCATTGAATAAAATGTATTACTTTGGAAACTAATAATTTATAACATATAAAATATGCAGCATCCAGGCTGGTAATCGGTTAAACATAAATTATAGTCACTGCATAAATCTCTGTTAAACTTCTAAAGTAATTCATATTCCTCATGCTAATACTTCAAAAAATATTACATTACTAATTAGTTTTAAGATTTACCGGGGGGGGGGGGGGGGGGGGTGAGATGGGGAGATGGAAATGCAATTAGTACTCAAAAACTATTTTGGAGAAACTACACAATACAGAAGGATTCTAAATACCTTTGGATTATAATATACATAGACCACTGGATCTAAATATCCATGGAAATTAATGCACAAACATGCAATTGCAACACTTAACAATAAAAGAAAAAAAGTACCATTCAAATGACATTCAAGAAAACAAGCTCCTTTTATAATTATTAAAATCCTGTTATACAACATGTTCTTTTTTAAAGATAAAAGATACTATCTTACCTTAAGATAATGTTACCAAAGATCTTTTCAGGACTCACTTGATATGGCGTTATTTCCTACAAAATAAAAACTACTTTGAATTTTCTAGCATAAAAAAAAATATCTACAATTCATGCATCTAACCTGTACACACACACACACACACACACACACACACACACACACACACACACA